GGGGGTGAGGCGCCGGCCTGCCCCCGCCAGTCATCATCTGCCCCGAGAAGTCGCTGGTTGCCGACTAAAGAAAGAAAGAGGAGTTTAATTTCCCAAAATTTTATTAAAAAAGTGATTCCGCTGAAAGAAACGTTATTGGAAAGATGAAATCTTGCTGCTGGCAGCGCAGCTGGCTGTAATCTCAAGCTTTATGCCAATAAGAAAGGGTCTTTTTTTGCTATATTAAAAGTGTAGAGCTTTTCCGCAACACGTTGAGAAAAACTTGAGAAAATGCTGATTAACAACCTTCAGTTAAAATTATTCCTAAAAAGTAATTTAAGGAAACTAAATCTTAAAAATTTTTGCTGCATCATTTGTGAGCATTGTAGCTCATCCCTGCCTTCTCTCATCAGAATTAATTTTAAAAAAGCTTTACTCAAGCTTTTAAAATTTAGTAGATACACTACCAAAATTGTTTCCTTTAGTGTTTTCGTTGCTTTTTCTTAATAATCCCTAACAGGCTTCCACCATCTTAACAAGAAATACTTTGTGACTATGCATTACAAATAAAAAAGCAACAGTTAATTTAATAAAAGATGTCTAACACCAGAATCACTATGGTTAGAGGAGGAATTAAGGTATTTAACTGGAGGCACGCTTGACCTGGACCGCCGAAGGGGCTGGAGACGGAGGTTTTTCACAGCGTCGGCTCCTCGTGCCCTGGGCTAGAGCCAGGCAGGTGGACACCCAGTGGTGCAGGAGCCGGGCTGGACCCCATCCCTGCGGCCACACCGCTGCTCCGTGCTCCCCTGGAACAAAGAAGAGAGGTGACTGCAAAAGACAAGTCAAACCCATGACCGGTGTTGCCACGAGACTGAACGGAGAAGATCATCCCATCAGTGGAGCTCTCCCCCAGTACAGTAATTCCACCCTGGAAAATGGTGATGCTTTTTCTTTTGTGTTGTGGTAGGTTTCCTGTTGTACAAAGTGCTCTGCTATGTTGTAATGCTAAACACTTGGTAATTAAACATGTAAAGAGAAAAGTGGTTTTTTTCCCAAGCTCAGATTTGATTTAAGAGTAGTTATCCTTCAAAGCTCTTTTCCTAAATGCTATTAAACGTCTCCACTCAATCATACCATTAAAGGTTGCTCTGTCAGTAGACTGTATGTTGTTTTGTGCTCTGTTCTATATTACAGCACACATATATGGAACACATGGGCATTATCTGATGTTCATTTTAAAGGAATTCCTAAAATTGTGAGCTACACCTGTATTCACACCACTGATCTGACACTACTCTCTCAGAGCAAGTTCCACCCTGGGAAACGAACCTTTTGTAGCATGCCAGCTGTTTGCCAAAGCTGTATTCTTTCTAGTTACAGCTGTGTCCCTAACTGGAGGAGGGCTCTAGGCCTGCTTCATTCTTTCTAGTGAATTAGTTTAATATGGATGAGAACACACGAAAAGGTACTATGACTGCATTAAGTATTCAGTGTTCATCAGTAGGCGGGGTACTGTTGATAAATATCCCCAGCTAAATTAACAAGCCTTGTCCGCATTTGATTTTTAACAGGCCTCTCAGACAGGCTTTAGATCATCAAGGGGGAGATCTCAACAAGAACAAGCCATTTCTCTTGCAGAGATATTGCAATTAATAATAGCCTCTTGACTGCTCCGGCACCAAAAAAGCCCACATTCATTAAAAGAAGGAAAGCGGACTGAACCCCAGCTCCTGTATATGACCAGTGAGTATATTAAGTCCCTGGCAGATGGTGTTTACAAAGAGGGCTCACACTGTCCTCCCATACTCGTGTTGCTGTTTGGAGCTGGGTCAGTCCCTCAGGCAGGGCAGGGTGGTCTGAGGAAGATTTAGTTGCCAAAAGAACCATCATTCTTAATAAGTTTATCTGAGGGTTTACAATGAGATCACTTGTTCTGGTAGGTTTCAAAGCTGATCTGCTCCCCTCTCCTTAAGGCAGTGAATTTTGATTCTAAATTTAAAAGCTTGACTTTTATTGACCAAAAAAAGACTGCAGATATTTAGGAACCCTTATCCATTGTTTAATCTACTGTGAAATTAAAGTTAATTTCTGAATAAGGACCTTAAAAGCACTCAGCTGAAGGTAGCCACTGACACTTTCATTGCTGAGCTGTGTCTGGTAATCTCACAATTAGTTTATGATATTTACCAGTGATGCAGTCCAGCAGGAGCTCTGCTTGAACTTGCACAGATGCAGCAGTTGGATCAAAGCAGTAAATCTCCTGAATCAAATTGTCATCAAGTTTCTGCAATGCAAAGAACAAAAAGAGTCAGGTGGTGGTGAAGAACTTAAAGAGAGGGTTACAGAATTAAAGGTGACTAAGTCAAGCATATAGGAAATTGGTACGTAATGAATTATTTCACTGCCAATTCACCCTTGGCAAATTCCACTATATGTTCTTGGGGGAGGAAGAACAGAAAACAAAGTCTCAACATTTTGAAGTCTCACCAGTTTACACTGACTCCAGCTCTCAGTCTCCTCTGAGCCCTTCCAGTTTGGATGGAGAAGCAACAGCACAGCCTTAACTATGTCATGTACCAGAGCTGGCGGCTCTACATAGCTCTTTATTTCAGCAAAGCTCTCAGCATCAAGTTCCTGGATGCACTGGCGCAGGTCCTGCAGCATGAACCGGTGGAACAGAACCCCTGCATGCCTCAAATTTGCCACATGTTCTGCCTCTGGAATCAAAAGCAAACCTTTCAAGAAGTTTCTCAGAAACATCTGCTACTCAAGACTTATGTTATCAACTGAAAGGCTCTGCTCTCTTTATGATTACCTCTTTGTGTCCTTGCCTGAGTGATTGGTTTGTATATAGCCCAAGTATCCTATGAAAATTCTAAAAATGGGTATGCGCTTGAGGAGACAGAGCTTGCCCCAGGGACAAGCAGAGGTCCGTGAAGGGTTCAGGCATGCAGGTAATTCTGGAACTGTGTCATTCAAATTCTTTTGATCTTAGTTGGGGCAGGTCTGAGGAGGACATGCTAGATCCCTGAAGGAAACAAAGCACCTTGCTTCACACCTTTGATTTCAGTGGGACTTGGTCACAAAAAATCCTGTGAGCTAGATCCAAAATCTAAACATTCTGTTTAACTTAGGTTTGCTCAGGAGTAGTTTACGTGTACCAAAGGTTTGTATTTGTCTTTCCATATTTGTAGGAATTATATTTTAGATGTGGTTTTACTGAGATTCCTAATTTCACCCCTAAAAAATCTATTTTGTCTCTGTATGCACAATACCCAGTACATAGGTTGGTTCTGTTTCCTCTAAAGACGACTTCAGTATCTCACAGCAGGCAGCTTGGGCCATCTTTAGCATTTTCTGCAGGTCTTTGTGTTCATGAGGTGGTAATTTCTGGTGGTGTCTAATGCTGATATCAAATATCCCAAGAGCTTGTCCTGACAGGTCACGGAGCGGTACTGCAACGTGGTATTCTCCAGAGACAGAAGCGCGAATGACCTCTGAACTCTCCACGCACTTAAACAGGTAATCTCTGAAATGAGAGTAGAGAGAGGAAAATGTACTAGACTTTACCATTCCAGTTTGTTTTGGTAATTTATTTAGCATATTTAAGTAAGATGCCATTCATCTCTTGTTGTTAAAACAAAGGTATTACCTTACTAAATCATTGTTTATTTCCTTGAACTGAAATATGCACAGCTTTAAGTATCATTCAAGCCGTATACAAAAAGGAGAAAATAGCATTGTGGAACACAATATTGCTTAGCCAAGGCAATTGCTGAAAATCATAAGAATTTAACAAACCTTGCTTTAAAGACAGTTTCCTGTTTATAACCATTTTGGCATTTGTTCTACAGAGTTTTATAAAAAGTAAAAACATCTGCTGGAACAGCAAATGGCTGTTCAACCAACTTTGACAAGGATGATACGCTTAAAAGACAAGTCTGGGAGGATCTTGGCAGTGGAAGGAAACAGGCAGTTGAAGGAAATGAGACTAATATGGGCAGGAAAAAAGACAGATTATTCTAAAGAGCAAAATGGTTTGGTGTAGGCTCTAATCCTGCAAACCTTTCACAGCAGACATGGAGCTCACTTGGCAGCTCAGCTGATAAGCCTAAGTTGGAAGTTAAGTTTTTGCAGGCCTAAACTCAAAAAGAAAATACTCCATACCCGTTCATAATTCAGCATACGCA